TCAGACCAAAGGCAGGAGCTTCATCTGGGTCTCCCACGTGGGTGCAGGGGCCCAAGCATATTGGCCTTTTTCTTTCTTTTTAAAAAATATTTACATATTTTTATTATTAAGGCAGAGTTATCACTGTTTCAATTCCCAAATGGCCACAGTGTGGGAGCTGAGCCTATCTGATGCCAGGAGCCAAGAGTTTCTTCCAGGTCTCCCACATGGGTGCAGGGTCCCAAGGACTTGGGCCGTCCTCACTGCTTTCCCAGGCCACACGCAGGATTTGGATGAGACATGGAGCTGCCGGGACACAAACCAGAGTCTGTGTGGGTGACTGGCACTTCTAGGTGGGGGAATTGGCCTGTTAACACATTGCACAGCCCCTTTGACCATCTTATTGCTTCGTCCCAGGCCATTATCGGGGGAGCTAGGTCACAAGGGGGCAGCCAGGACTTGACTTGGTGCCCATAGGGGATTCCCATACCCCCTGAGATGGCCCCGGGCATCCATGGTCTGTTTAGCCAGGACCGGAGCAGCTGGGCCCGGGCCTTGTGTTCTGCAGAGCACAGTGGAGCTCCCACGTGCCCTAGGATGACATCATGAGAATGTCAGGCCACCAGGGTGCTGGGCTGTGCAGGGACGTGTTGGGGGCTTACCTGCAAAGGGTTTTGGAGCAGCATCACTGTGTACGCCACAGGTGGGAAAACAAAGGGGCTCTCAGGAAATTGCCGCTGCTCACGCCTTCCTAAGCCCTGCGGTTTCTCCTCCTCTCAAGGGACTGGCGTCTGGTTCCTGGGAGCCAAATCCAGTTTCTCGCCTGCAGTGTTGTTGCACAGAGTGCTAAGCTGCTCCTCCCTGGCTCCCTTGCCCTCCAGTGTCCTCTCTGGCCATCTGAAAGCTTCTGTTTCCTTGCTTGCCAGTTCGGCTTTCCAGACCTGCCTGAAGTACAGTGTGTTATTCAGTTATTTTGAGAGCAAGATCTCAAGGCTTGCCGTCACCTGGTCTTCCAAAGATGAGCCAGGTATGGCAGAGTTAAATCTGCCAGGTGGGGGCCCAGCAGCATGGCCTAGTGGCTAAAGTCCTCACCTTGAATGCCCTGGGATCCCATATGGGCACCGGTTCTAATCCCGGCAGCTCCACTTCCCATTTATCTTCCTGCCCGTGGCCTGGGAAAGCAGTCGAGGACAGCCCAAAGCCTTGGGACCCTGCACCTGCATGGGAGACCAGGAAGAAGTGGCTTCACATCGGCATAGCATTGGCTGTTGCGCTCACTTGGGGAGTGAATCTTCAGACGGAAGATCTTCCTCTCTGTCTCTCTTCCTCTCTGTATATCTGCCTTTCCAATAAATAAAATCTTTAAAAAAAAAAAACTGCCAGGTGGCTGCAGGGATAGCAAGGTGGGCGCTGTGGCACAGTGGGATGAGTCACCTGCAACCCATATTGCAAGCCGCCCCAAGTCCTGGCTGCTTCGTATTCTGTCCAGCTTACTGCACAAGAGCCTGGGGAGCCAGCAGCTGGCCCAAGTGCTCAGTGGGTTCCTGGATGGGGCACCTGGCTCCTGGCTTCGGCCCGGCAGGCCCTGGCTGTTACAGCCATGGAGGGAGTGAGGCAGGAGGAGCCCTGCTCTAGGTCACAACTGCTGCCAGTTGCTAACAAGCTGCCCGGCTCATCAGAGCTTCAGGATGTTGGGGTCTCAGCAAGGCTTGGTCTGAAGTTGAGTTGGCCAGGTGATGCTCACCGCTTCGAGAGACCATCCCCAGGGCCTGCAGCGCAGAGTGACCGCCGTGTCCCCAGAGGCGGCCTGCTTGGACATCACAGGCTCCTGAGCAACTCTCTAACCACAGGCTACAGACTGGACTGCCTTGGGGTCTGTGTCAGTCAGACCTGGACCATGATCCAAAGGTCCTCCCAGAGTCTGTGGTGTATAGGGTACCTGGTTTTGCATGCTCGCTAGGGAGGGGAAAGGCTAGGCCTGGTCTGTCCGTCCATATAACCAGGGCTGCCTTTGGGGAGCCCAGCGTTACCAATCTGCTCGAGTAATGATGGCGATCGTACCACATGACACGGCACTGGGCCCACTTCCTGAGTGCAGTGACCACCCAGCTCAGCGGTCGCACGGCGCTGGGCCCACTTCCTATGTGCAGTGACCGCCCAGCTCTTAGTGGTCGCATGGCGCTGGGCCCACTTCCTGTGTGCAGTGACCGCCCAGCTCAGTGACTCAGAGCAGGCTGCTGCCATTGCTTAGTGTGTCATGGGTGATGTGGTGCTGCAAGTGACCCTACATCTGGAGATGCTGTCCCTCTCTGCTGGGACAGGAGGGTCTGGCCAGCTCCTCTGCATGAAGCCATTTTGCTGTCTCAGGCCAGGCATGCCTCTCACCACTGGAGTGTTCAGGCATTTATCAGTCTTACTCCTTTAACTGTGGTTGGCCTGTAGCAGCCCCCCCCCCGCCCATGTCACAGGGAGCATGTGCTGGGAAGAGCACGTGGACAGGTCACTGTCAACAGGGGCCACGTGAGCCAGGCGTGTTGAAGGGGCCCGTTGCTCTGTCCAGTTCCAGACTGAGGGTCAGTTTGCTATGTGATGTCTCAGCTGTGAGCAGTAGGGAATATTTCTTTCTCACACTTGGCTGAGAAGTGAAATGTATGAGGGAAAACGACTTAACACAGGGTTATGTACGAACCAGAACTGTGTCAACCTGCACCATCTGCCTGCCTCCCACTGCCGGGAGCCGTCAGGCGTGGAGGAATCTGACGCACACATGCAGACTTGGTGGGCAGGCAGAGACCATCTCCCTGTGGAAGAGTTGTTGGGATCAAGTGCTATGCTCATGTCATCTTATGAGACAATACTGAGTACTGTGGGCCCAGCGTGACATAGGAAGTTAGGCGACAGGCTCACCTGGGGATGTTTTTCGTGGTGTGTGCTTGAGGGAGCGCGTGGAAGGACAGTATGGGTTCTCCAGCCGGGTCTCCCTGCTGTGAAATGCACTAAGGGCGTGGTCAGTCAGGATGGCGCTTTGGTAGCGGTTGGATAGACTTCCTGTGTGGAAAGTTCATTTATATTGATCCACTACCAAGAGAAGAGTAGGAAAATGCTGTCTGTTTAACATCTGTGCTGGCAGATGTTAAAGCCTGGCAGCCTCATGCTCGACACTGCAGAGCCGTGCGGAGAAGGCTGGGCGTGGCACACGGGTCTCACTCTCCGGGGACTCTGGCAGCGTGCGAGGAGCAGCTTCCGTGTGGGAACTCGCTAGAAAGAGCCTTTGCTCCACAGATCCTCCTGTAGCTCATATACAGCAGCTGTGGGCCAGCTGCCTCACGTGGCCATTTCCTCATTCGAAATAGACAAAAATAGTAGTGTGTGGCTCTGGGTTTGTGGTGACTGGGAAGGCGGCCAGCGACCCGTAGGTAACCGAGAGAGAGCTGCACGTGGAGGAAGGAACGGCCATGCTGGCTGGGCGAGCAGACTTGAGCAGACCAGAGGCCGAGGAGAGGTGAGCCGCAAGGTGTGGAGCAGGCACAGTCCAGGTTACACCTGCATTGCGGCAAGACGGGAGGAAGGAGGTGATTCCTAGGAAGAACCGTCAGCCAACTGCAGCACGGCATGGGGTCCAGCCATGTGAGGGCCCACCCGCTCACCAGCGCCCTGCCGGTGTGCCCGTCACTCTGAGCTGCTTTTCCCTGGTGACCAGGGGTGCTGAGTGCAGCATGGCATGGGGTCCCAGCCGTGTCAGGGCCCACCCGCTCACCAGCGCCCTGCCGGTGTGCCCGTCACTCTGAGCTGCTTTTCCCTGGCAACCACGGGTGCTGAGTGCCCCTTTTCTGCAGAAGCTTTTGTCAAGTCTTTGGCCCAGGGGCTGGCTATCTGCGATGCCAGCATCCTGCATTGGCTCCAGTTTACATACACGCTGCTTTATTGCCAGCCCAGCTCCCTGCCAATGTGCCACCCCCACGGGAGACCTTACTGGGTGGGAAGGTGCTTCTGGCTCTGGCCAGGCCCAGTCCCAGCTGTTGCAGCAGATTGGGGAATCTGCTAAATGGAATCAATAAATGAAGTGAATAAGTGAATCAATAAATGGAAAATCTCTTTTTTTTCCTTTCTTAAAAAAATTTTTGTTGTTTTCTTTTTTTCCTTTCTAATTCTGCCTTTCAAGTTAAAATAAATGCATCTCTTCAAAAACATTCTTAAACAGCATGCTGCTCACCGCCCTTTCCCTGTGGGGGTCCTGCTGGCTGTGTCTGGCTGGAACTTGTGGGGTGGTGTCGTGGGTGGGGAGGTGGCCATCCTGACAGGGCCCCTACCTTGCAGGCAGCCCTTGAGTGATTGTGTCTGCTGTGGTTTGAGTGCCATGTGTCAGTACCAGTCTAGGCTTGGTGGTTTCCCACGACAGGGTGCTGGTGTCTGACCCTTGCTCTGCCTGCTGGGACCACGTAGTCCCGGGGTGTTCACCTGGGGGACCACGTAATCCCAGGGTGTTCACCTGGGGGACCACGTAGTCCCGGGGTGTTCACCTGCAGGCTTTCACATGTGAACGCAGCTTTTCCGTCCTGAGCTGAGCAGCCTGGTCAGACACTCGTCTGCTGGAGTTTGCCCCAAGCAGATGTTTGTGTGTTGTCTCCCTGCCCTCCTGCTCTGGGAAGGGCTACCATGAACCCCTCGGCTGTGTGGCTCCCCGAGTGCCCTGGGATCTGGATTTTCCTCGTGGGAAGGCCCTGACTGCTCGAGCTCACATCTCGCGTGTGTCCTGTGGCAGTGGTGGTGGTTTCTGCACTTCTAGGGGTCAGTGTCTCCTTGCAGCTGCAAGGCCATTTCCATCCCTTTATGCTGTGTCCAGGCTTACTTCTCACAACCAAAAGTCTGAGCTATTCTTGTCATTACGTGGATCTGTGCCACCTGCCAGAGGCTGGGCACCTGCTTGGTGCAGGGACATGGTCGGGGAAAGCTGGGAGGATGTGGTCACCGTGGCCACGGCAGCGCCCTTCTCGCTGACCAGTGTGTGTCCACTGCCCTAGGTCTTCACCTCCCATGGCCCCACAGTGATCATGCCCACATGGTTCTGCTCCCGTGCGTGGTTCTCCCATGTGGGCCCATTTGAGGAGGGCGGGCAGGTAAGTGCCGGGACAGGACTGGGTCCCATCCTCTAAGCTGTGGGTTCCCCCACATGAGGCCTGTCCCAGTTCTGCTGGGACAGGGCTGACACCTGATCCTGGCTGCGTGTGGGAAGGCAGGGGGGTGAGGTGGATCCAGGCATTGGCCGCCATGCGGGACAGGTGTGGGGCCAGTGGGGAGGAACCAGGACCAGGACTGGGTGGTCAGGGACTGGGGACCTGGGAGTTGTGGCTCAGGCACCAGACTGGGACTTGGCCCGTGGCGGGCCCACAGCCACAAAGTGGCCGCACTGGGAGGTGGTAGTGGCCCTCCACCGGCCACTCTCCCCTGCGCCCGGGGCAGTTTCAGGGGGATCAGCCTGTGCTCAGGGGGAGTGCTTCAGGGGATCAGCCTGTGCTCAGGCTGTGGCTGCTGGGGAGCCCTGGGAAGGCAGGGTGTGTGAATAATTTCCAATTTCTCATTCCTGGCCCACCCTCTCGCATTTTTCCAAATTCTTTCCCACTCAAGTCAGGTGGAACTCAGCATAGAACCAGAGCAGGCTAGAGCAGGCAGCATAGAACCCTTGTTCCTGCCACCCTGTGCCCTCCCTGCCCCCAAGGAGCCTTGACAGAATCTGACGTGCCTCCTTGCTCTCGCAGGGGGAGCCCGAGGACCTGCTCTTCTTCTACCAGCACCTCAGGAAGGGTGGCGGGGTTGTACGTGTGGACCAGGACCTCCTTCTCTACCGCTACCACCCACAGGCGGCCACTCACTCCATCCTCGAGTGAGTAGCTGGGGACTCTGGCATGCTGGGCCAGGACCGGGGAGCAGAGCAGAAGGCTGAATTTCCTGGGAGACACGTGACCTCAGCTGTGCCCAGAGCAGCTGGGACCCTCGAAGGGCCCAGAGTGTCTTTAGGAGTTCATGTGCTCAGTGACTTGCCGCTCTCATTTCAACCTGATGTGGCTCCGGGTGAGGCCTGTGGCAGACCTTGGGATGCCATCCCCCCACCCCAGGGTGGACATGTCCTGCACACAAGGTGTCAGTCAGCAGCAAGGGAGCCGGCCATGACTCTCTAGGGCATCAGTGTGGCATAAAGCTGGGCTCCCTGGGAAGGGGGTGGAGTGGGGGGGCAAGGAGGGCATTTGCAGTCTAGGAGTTGCATTGTGTGTGTGTGTGTGAGAGAGAGAGAGAGACAGCGTATGAGTTCTTACCAACTCGCACTGCCAGGCTGCCACGTGTTCTGCTCGGTCTGGGGTGGAGGACACAGGCCTCCTGGCTGAGGGGAGCTGGACCTGCCCTGTGTGCTCTGTGCTGATGGCTGAGTCGTGTCAGACCCTCTGTTGGGAGGCAGATGGCCTGAGGGTTTGGGGACGATGTGTGGGTGGGCCCCAGCCAGGTGGCAACCACGGTGTGGCCTTTTGTTCAGCAGGACAAACAACCTTGTGGATGGAGTGTCCTGTGCTTCTCTCTTGCCTTTTGCAAAACCCAAATGCTCTGGAGAGAGCAGTCTGGACCCAGGCCAAGGGCTGAGGTCCTAGAAAGTGTGCTGAATGGTCACGGGCTGGGGGCTCTGCTGTCACTGAACTCGGTGAGCTCAGAGGTTCCGGCAGCTGGGTGTCCAGTGTGAAGGTGCTGGAAGATGCTGAGTATGCAAGGGCTTCCCAGACCACAAACGGCACCTTCTCGCTCTGCCCCCTTGGCAGGAAGCACGAGGGTCCCCGAGGAGGGCTCAGCCACCGGGGCTCCCATTCCCTTAGCGCATGCAGATGTGGGTCCTGGTGAGACACATTATAAGGCAGCTATACAAAATTAAGCCAGAAATCACTTACACTTACTTAAACTTGTTCCTTAAAAATTTACTAAAGCATCAGCAGAATAGACTTCAAATGAATAGGAAGGAAATGGGAGCAAATTATGATGAAACAGGGGCCAGGGATGCCAGCGTCTTATATGGGTGACAGTTCACGAACTGGCTGCCTCACTTCCAATCCAGCCCCCCTTTCCGTGTCTGGGTGCCTGGGCCCCTGCACCTATGTGGGAGACCTGGAAGAAGCTGCCTGTGTTGTCCTGGACATTATGGCCATCTGGGGAGTGAACCAGGGGACAGATAAGCTCTCGCTCTCCTTCTCTGTGTGTGTCTCCTTTTTAAAACAAATATTTAAAAAAATATGAAATATAAAAAATTAGAAAAATCAGCAAAATCAAGGGCGGGTGCTTTGACATAAAATTGAGAAAGGTGGAGAAAGACATGTAAAAATAAGACGCAGCAACCTTGGGAATGATGCCGCCACCATAACACCCGCAGGCAGAACATCAGTGATAATTACAAGTTAGGGTTCCAGGGCTGGGGATTGCTGTGGGTTAGCCACCGCCTGGGTGCCTGGTTCTCTCCTCTGATCCAGTTCCTGTCACCGTGCCACACTGGCAGGCAGCAGATGGTGGGAGACCCACAGTGGAGTTCCATGGCTGAGGTGGACCAGCAGATAAAGAGCGGTCATCCTCGGTCTCCCTGCCTAAGAAGCGGGAGGTACAAGGGCATAAAAACAAAATACCTACCCGTGGACTCCATGGCATCACACATGTTCTGTCCGTGATGTTAGGGTGAGGGTCCAGGGTGAGGAGCGCCAACCCAATGAGTGCAAGCGTGTCCCCGCCCCGGCTCCCTCAGCAGCCTCAGAAAGAGCACCCCGACACAGGCCACAGCAGCGGCACAGAATAATCTACAAGCTCAGTGATCGTTAGCAAGGTCCAAAGCCAGTGAGTGAAGTCTGCGCCAGGAACTGTGGGACGGGGTGGCCACAGGGATGGGGCCAGGGTCTCAAGCCCTGGACGGAAACAGCCGAGGCTCGGCGGGGCGAGAGTGCTCGAGGCTGGAGAGCGGCCCAAATCCAACCATGCCAGAACCCATGGGCTCTATCAGAACTGCAACTTTTACAAACAGCAAGCACCATAAGGAAAATGAACAGACCCCAGACAGGGAAAAAATACTCGTAAGAGAGAGAGTGAGAGTGTGTGTGTGTGTGTGTTCAACTTGACCAGCAAATGCCCAGTAAGAACGGGCAGTGGAGTGGAACACACATGGCTCCAGAGGCTGCATCCACAGCCAGAGCTGGAGTCAGCCCCAGGCACCTCCTGGGGAGGCCGAGCTTGGCCTCTGCGGGCAGCAGGCGGCAAGGACTTGGGACTCCCTGGCCTGGCAGAAAACATTCGGCTTTTTCAATTGCACACATTTACATCTTCCTGATGACCTAGCAGTTTCACTTCTGGGTGTTTACCAGAGACAGAGAGAGCATTGCACAACGCGTAGCTGTGAACAGCTGGGACACTGTCAGCAGGATGTCAGCGGGGAGTGGGCAAGCGCGCACACACGTGGGGGCTGCGCCTCAGCCTGACACCCACAGGAGTAGGGGCTGGTGCGGCAGGAGAGCCTGGCCGGAACACTGGGGACGCTTGTGGCAGACTGACTAGATGGGTGTCCATGGCAGGTGGAGGTTCCGCGTGCTCTGGGGAGGGCTGCCTGGGGACTCACTGGCATGGGCCACAGGTGTGTGTGCTGGAGCAGCTGCAGCTATGTGCTTGGAAACTGAGACGCGGAGGTTTCCGTCTGAGAGGTTCTGCCACGTGGCTCTGGCCCTGGAAGGCCTTGAGCAGACGGTGGCTTTGGACCTGTCTGCCCAAGGCTCATGTTTAGGTGTGTGCCTTGCCTCAGGGTTGAGGAGAGTTCACACACGTGAAGGGGCCAGGCCTCGGGGAAATGGGCGTGGCCACCCCAGGAAGCCGGGCAGCAGGCCAGGACCCGCACCTCGGCTGATGAAGCTGTGTGTGCACAAAACAAGTGACCTCATGTGAGTTTCGGTATGGGATTAAGCATCTTGGAACTGAGACAGGACTTGCTAACAAGTTGAACTTGTTCAGATTTCCTGTGGGGACCGTGCCCTGAGTCCTTTTTGTTTTACACCGAGAATGGCCTACGTGTGTGTCACTCAGCAGTCCCGCGCGGTGCCCACGGGGCTCCTGCAGGTGTTTCACCCGTGACCCTGTTAGGCGTGTCCAGTGCTGGTTCACATAACCAATGTGCGCATATGTTCCCAAGCAGTTCAGCTGCACGTGAGACATGCTCAAGGTTTATGTACGAGAAAGGCACAGTGGCAGAGCAATCTTCACCTGTGGGTTCACCAGGCCCGTGGCTTCCACAGGGCCTGGGTCAGGTGTGGGCAGCCTGTGGCAGGATCCAGCCCCAGCCGCCTTCTCCTGTGCTCCAGGACGACCATCTGGACCCACCGCGTGCACTTCCTGGAGGAGCGGGCCCTGCCCCACTGGCCCACCTTCACCATCTGGAATGCGGGCAAGCAGGGGCGCAGGCTGTACCGCAGCCTCACAGCTGCCAACAGGCACAAGGTGGGCCCTCCTCCCTTCCTTGCCCACCCCCCGTGCACACCTGCCCCACGTGTCCAGCAGCGTCCTGTCTGCCATCCCAGGTGGTCGCCTTCTGTGATGTGGATGAGAACAAGATCAGGAAGGGCTTCTACTGCTACGAGGAGTCTCAGGTGTGTAGGGTCCCCGACACACCTGTCTTCCATGTTCCTCCTCCTGGGCTGGGGTGCTGGGTGATACCAGTGTGTTCCTACTGGGTCTGAGTCTCAGGTTGGCCGCTCTGAGGTGCCCAGCAGGAGTGGACCCTGTCCATCAGTCTGCCCCAACTGCCCATGGTCAGTCACTTCTCCCCTTGCTCCCTTGCTGTGCCAGCCCTGAGCAGTCTGCAGCGCTGACTCCCTGTGTCTCCTGGCAGGAAAGGCCCCGGCCGCGGGTCCCAATCCTGCATTTCCGAGCTGCCCGGCCCCCCTTCGTCATCTGTGTGAAGCTGGTAAGTGTGAGGGCACCGTGGGCGCTGCTGCATCTAGACACGATTGTGAGGCAGGGAGGACCTCATTTAGGGAGCACGGGTTGGGTCTGCTTGGCCACAGTCATCCACAGCTTTGCTTTAGGCTAGCTCTGGTCCCATGTTCACCAGGACACCAGGGCTAAGACAGCTGGACATTGCTGGAGGCCTGCGAAGCCTCAGGCTGCTTTTCCTGCTGTATGCCTAATTATCCCAGCCCCTCTCCCGTTTGCAGGAATAGCGCCATGTGCACAGGCAGGGCCCGGGCTGGCTTTGCCCTGGGCTTCCCGTGTCCTGCACCATTACTGCAGTTTCGTATAGTGATTGGTGGTTGACAATGGTCTTCTTACTCTGTCAGGTTTGTCGTGTTTTTCTGAAGTAAATGTTATTGTCAGCTGCCACACACTTGGATGGCCTACGTGGAGGGCAGGTGGCGGCATGTGGGTGAGCTCCAGCTGCCTGGGTTTTATTAGAACCCGGGACAGGTGATGGCAAAGTCAGCAAGCATGTTTATGAGGTGCTGGCACGCCTGGTGCAGAGGTGGCACAGCCAGCATCCCTTGTGGGTGCTGGTTTGCGTGCCAGTTGCTCCACCTCCCACTCCTGCCCCCGGGGAAGCAGCAGAGGATGCCCTAAGTGCCTGGGCCCTTGCACCCACATGGGGGACCCAGGAAGTCCGGCCTGTGGCCTCACTCCGCCAGGGCCTGTGCACATGAACCCCGAACCACAGCACTTTACACCAACTTAGTTAAGCCTCCATGGTGTCTGGTTCCTTTCACTGCTGGCCACTCTGGACCCCACTTGCAGGGTGGTTCCCAGTGCTGTGGCCACCATGGCCCTGCTGGCAACTGAGGACACCTGATGACACCTGCCTGGTCTTGGGCTCACTTCTGGTGAGGTTTCTTTGGGGAACCCCGTCACCCCCAACTGAGCCGCTGGACTGAGAACTCCAGCTACAGGGGGAGTCGCAGGGTCTGTGCTCTGACCAGGGAGTGCATGTGTTGAAACTGGGCCTCCCAATGGCAGATCTCATGCACACCGGTGGGGCCTTGGCCCAGGCTGACTTGGCCCACCTCCTGTCCTGGCAGGAACAGCGGTCTTGCCCAACTGACCCACACCCATTCCAGCTCTTATTGTTGGGTGCTGTGGCCCAGCCCTCCCTGGTGCACCCCCAGACTCAGCTGTCATGCGTTTCAGTGGGTACTGAGCCCAAGCCCAGCCTGTCCTGCATTCAACCTGGCTCTTACAAGCACTAACAGGTCCTGGAGTCTAGACCAGACCCTGTCCACACCCGAGCCAAGGGACACTGCAGTGATGTCCAGTCCAGTCCAGATCGCTGCCTCCATACCAGCTCTCACACTCACCAGTGGGAACCACAACCCAGCCAGGGTGTCCCCTTAGCTCCCAATCAGGCCTGTTCCCAGCTACAGCTCTTATGCATGCCAGTGGTTACTCTGGCCTGGCATAGCCCATCTCCCCATCTTGGCCTTTGCCATCTGATGTTGCAGTGGCCCAGCCTGACCCCAGTCCCAATTCCTGCTGGTGGGTGCTACAGCCTAGCCCTGCTCAGTCTGCTCCCACCCCTAGCTCATGCAGCCTCGCACATGTCATAGCCTAGCCCGGCATGGCCGCTTCTCCATCCTAGCTTCTGCACATGCCAGTGGGCTAAGGTTGGCCCGGCCCTGCCCCCACCCCCTGAACCAACCCACACTCCTGCTGACAAGCAGAGCTGCCTCGCCTGGCCTGACCAACGTCCAGGCCTGAATTGTGCTCACCAAGTTCCCCCGCCAGGTCCACTCTCAGACCCAGATCTCACACGTGCCTGCGGGTTCTAGGCCCTCACCCGGCATAGTCTGCCCCCCTCTGTCTCAGCTTTTATGTGAGCTGGTGGATGTGGCAGCCTGGCACAGCCTACACCCTATTGGGTGTGCCTATGGGTGCTGCAGCCTGGACCAGGCCAGCCTGTTCCCTACCCCAGTACCCACAAGTGTCCTGGGGTTCCATGGTCATGCTAGCTCAGGCCGTCACTACCCCCAGCTCTTGAACAAAACAGCAGCTATTGCAGTTTCACAGTGGTGAGCCCATATATCCTCCACAGAATCTGCCCCAGACCTGGTTCTCTCACGTGCTGGTTAATGTCATGACCCAGCCTAACATTATCCGCCCCCTGTTCCGACACTGGCAGGTACTGAGGTCTAGCCATGCCAGCTAGGCCCCCCAGCCCGTCAGTGTGTGCCAGTGGCTGGTGTTCTGCGGTGGTCAAAGCTAGCCAGCCCAGCTCAGGTTTCCCACGTGAGTGGGTGCATTGGTCTGACCCAGAAAGGTCCTCCAGCTTCCCTCCTCCAAACCGCTTGGTCTCAGCGTCCTCACTGACCTGCAACTACAGTGGCCTTGTCAGTGAAGTCCCCAGAAGTCATTCCTCGCCTCCCACGGTGGTCCGCCCTCCCCACATGTAGGGTACGTTTCTTGTGGATGCTAGTCCCTGTTGGTCTTGCAAACGTGTCCCGCCATCCTGTGGTCTGTCCCCTTCTGTCACTGGGAGATGTCACCCAGCACTCCTGGACATGATTACCGCTGCTGGACCAGAGCCTGGGCTGGGCTGGGCTTGGCACCCCCAGAGTGGAGATGAGAGCAAGGAGGAAGGGTTTGAGAGGGCATGGTGGCAAACACTGACACATTTCTAGTTAGGGTCTGGGAGCGACGTGGCCGAGGTGCTTGTACGGTCCCACTGAGCCCCTCGCTGCTCCAGGCAGGAGGGTTAGGGTTGGGCAGCCTGACCAGCACAGGTACACAGCACCTGGGGTTGTGGCCTCGCTGTCTGGCATGCTGGGAGTGGCTGACAGTTTCCAGGCGCTCCCTCCCTGTGTGGTCACTGCGTGATACCTTGGCAGGGGTGCCTGGAGGCTCCAGGTGGTCAGGGAGAGGGGCAGGGACCACCTCAGAGGACCCTGGTGTCTGTCCAGCTGAAGCTGGTCTTGCTGGGCCACACCAGAACTTGTGCTCCCGCCACAGGACCTCACAGGGGGCGAGTTTGAGGAGAACCTGCGGTCACTGCAGCTGCGTGAGGGCCAGCACTTCGTGCACTTCAGCTGAGGTTGGCTACTCCAGGTGGGTTGCCAGTTCTTCCTCGTATTCTGTCTTCCGCTGAAGCATATTTTTGAGAATTCAAACACTACTTCCAGAGATTTTGATTCACTGTATTTTATTAACTTGCATGAAATACTTAATGTTTTGTCTGTTACCAGACTGAGAATGTGTGCGCAGACCGCACCTAGCGCGAGCTTTTGTGTTCCAGTCCATGCTTGGAGCATTTTGTCTCAGTGTGGCAACTGCAGAAGAGCGCTTGCAGTGCTGGGCTCGGCCACTCTTCCGAGGGCCCCAGACGCGTGCCCACGAGGAGCCACTGTCTCCAGATGCTTCTTACCGGAACCTCCCAGTAGCTGCCGCCTGCGTGCAAACACCTGTCCTGACTGGGGCTACCTTTGCTTGAGGCGTGTCACTTGACAACACGCAGTTACATTCCACATGGCTTTGTCTCTCACACATAGGTGCACTGCTGTGTCTGCCTCATGTCCATCATGCCTTCTCCCCAGGGTGCCCTCCTGTCTACCAAGCTCCAGGGTGTGGGCGCACAGACCAGACACTGCACATCCCACTGACTCTGACCCCGATTCCTGTTTTTAAAACCACATGAGGCAGTTTCAGGAAGTCCATGCAAAGTGGAACGAAGATGAAAAGCAAGCTTCGGTTCTCAGTGGACAAGCCCAGCCAGCTCCGAAGGGACTGGCCATTTTACATTATTAACTGAAGAAAAATGGTGCCTTTTAAAGGTCTTTTTAAACAAAGGACTGCAACTGGAGACACTTGATGCTAGCTGCTTGCCCGAGGTGAGGCGGAGGCGTGGGCCTGCCGCCCAGCAGGAGGGCTGCTCTGGCCCTGACTGGGACCACTGGAAACACTTCCTGTCTGTCCCAAACTCCTGCTGTGCGGAGGCTGCCTCCCGTGAGGCCCTGTGAGCTGAGCCACGGAGGAGCCTTGGGGCCAGCCAGGACCAGGTCGAGGTGAGCGTTCTGATCTTTAGCACCTATGTCCGCTCCTTGTCATTTCCTAAGATGTGTTTGGTTTTCCTTTAAATGCAGACTTCACAGACAGCTCTTCCATCTGCTGGTCCACCTCTCCAGGGGCCACCACAGCCATTGCTGATCTGAAGCTGGGAGCCAGGGGCTTCTTCCAGTTCTCAGACTCGGGTGCAGGGTCCCAAGCACCTGGAGCATCCTCCTCTGCCTCCCCAAGCCATCAACAGGGAGTCGGATCGGCAGTGGAGCAGCCAGGACCCAAAGCACAGTCGGTATGGGATGTGCTGTGTCGCTGTCCGTCTGGCACATGAAGCACCAGTGATAGCACTATTCTTATTTTAGAGAACTTACGTTCTGATGGAAGCCTTTTTCATACCGACATCCTGTATCTCTAGACAGATTCTATTCAGAAATACTGTAACAAGTTAGCTTGTTTTTGTACAAAAACTCAAATTTATGCTTAGTTTTTCATCATACGCACTTGTGTGTTAGCCATCATCTTTGCTCAGCATTCCTCTAAGCTGTACTCATCTGCCAGGACTGCGGCTGGGCCCCGGGCAGCGTGTGGCTGGGCTTGTGGCAGAACCTCAAGGCATGGACGCCCCGTCCCCTGTCAGGACAGCTGGGTCCTGGGCAGCGAGGCCTCTTCAACCCCACCAGCTACTGGCTCCCTCTCACACCCAGTCCCACTGCTGCTGGGCCTGCGTGTTGCCAGGCACTATCATCCCCCCACTGCTTCGGGTCACTTCTTCCGACCTCATTCTCCGCATCTCTCCCCAGCCGTGGTGTCTGCAGCATCTCCACGTCTAGACAACTTCTAGCTATTTCCTTTTCCAGGATGTTTTCACCTCCCAAGTGTGGCAAGTGTGTGGCAACGATGCCCGCACACCCACCCGCGGCTCTCGGCTTTGCCCACCCAGCCCCAGCTGTGGACTGAGGCGTGGGCAGGGCCTCCTGGTGTGAGTGCTCCTCACTCTCCTGGTGAGGGGCAGCTCTGGGGGCCCAGCTCCTCCTCCATAAACCCTGGCTCTGGGCCACGTGGCCTGCGTGCTCCAGGGATGCCCGCCCTGCTTCTGGTGCCTCTGCCTGCCAAGATGCCAGATCCACCTGCTTCATGTGACATGGCTGCACTCAGATCTTCTCCTCTATGCCCACTGAGGAGGGTGGGAATCCTTCTGGGCTGCACATGCTGCTGCCCAAAGGAATAGCCCTGAGATGCACTCGGTGAGAACATGGGCCCGTGACAGGACAGACCAGGCAGCTG